AATATGTGTCCACCATGCCGATAGCCGACTTGCCATCACTTGGAATTGTTTTTAATACTAAATGGTTGGAGGCAATCAGATGCTAGTCATCATCCACTAATTAACTTCTAATTACATTCCCAGGCATTGTGGAAGCATCTGTACAAAAAGCCGACATGTCAACCTGAGACCAAGCACTTCGATCATATCAATCAATGGACGGGAAAATCTAAAACTACATTAAATAATTAATATGATCGGTTGCACAAGAGCCAGAGTGGCTCTCGTGGCCCAAGTGGTCTAGTGGATAACGCCTTGGCGTTTGAAACTATCAGAACTGGGTTCGAGCCTCGGTGGGAACATCATCAGTCACTGAGAAATGCAGGCACAAGCAGATGACGAGTCCCAAGTAGGACGAAATGCGCTCTATCTTAGATTCCATTGCTAGTCACCATCCACCGATAAATTGTAATCAGCAAGGAGCCATAAATCACTTATATCACTCACCAGTCAGTAAGGCGTCATGAAGGAATTTATGTGACTCTTGTGAGGGTCAAACCCCAATAACCCAGTATTGTAGTCAGAGAAATTACCATTGAGCTATTCAGTCTGATGACGGACCCCTCCCCGTAGACCTGGACATTAGGTAGTAACGAATTCCATGTGTTTTGCAAAACTTGACTTCACTGACAGAATTCAACCTGCATTAAACGAAGAACTAGACGCCTTACAATGAATACTATTGAAGGAAGAAGGATTAATCAAATAAGGAGTGAGGAGATCTTCGTCACTCGGGACAAACGGTACGTCTGCCTACCACCTCGCCATCTAATTCAACATGTACTACTGACCAAAGTGGAGCAGTAATTTGAAGGAAAACAGTATCTCAGTCCACTAAATGAGATCAGTTCACATAAAAGTCATTAACTAATAGCCTGGCATTTTAATATGGGGAGTTGTTTGTTTGAGTTTTGTAATGAAGCTCCCATGAATTCATAATCTATGTCTTCCCCCCCCCACCCACCCATATAAATTGTGACGTCATGCTTTTCTTCCTTGTGTTATAGATTCGCATAATTTTCAGTCGTACAGTTCATAACATTCTTTAAATATCTCTTCGTTTGACTAATAGTCACTCATGACTTCAAGTATTATTTCTTTTCATTCCCATTGGAACACGGGGCGGCTTCAAGCTAGAGCTGGAACCTTCCCTCTTTACCAGTCTTATTACTAGTTCAGCGAGACACAGGAGTACGTCGGCCGGGGATCCAATCCCGAACCACATACGGTGTGGTTGACAAGCATTCTACAACTGTGTCACCGACGCAGTGACTTCAGGTAATACGTATATATCTGTCTAGGTACCCTACTTCGAAACTTTCTACTTGCATAACTCCTTCACTTTTTTAGCTTACAAAACTCGCTACGAAGCAGTTATGTAATAAACAAGTTGATAATTGATTTGGCCTCTAACAGTTGGTAAATATCGATCGTACCTTGATTATAAGACAAAGTTCATCATTATTTCTTTTACTAATGTTTATGCTAAATCATGTGATGCTAGTGTATTCGGTTTTTAACAAGCTACACATAAGCAAACATGATCGTTCTAACCATTTGTCACAATTATTTCCTAAATCAATATCAATCTACATACAGGAAGTCAACACACACACACACACAACATAACAAAGAAAATCCACCTAATGATTCACAAAAGAAACTGTGCGAACATTGACCAAGGGTTAAGACGTACTATTATTATTGCTTCCTTTAGTTCCTATATGAACATAGGGCTTCAATAGCACGTCTCCATTGCGTTCGGTTCTCTGCCAACGTTCTCTCACCAGGCTCTACGTCCGCCCACATGCTTTCATCTCGTCCTCACACGACCTCCTCCATGTCACCCTTGGACGACCAACTCACCGTTTCCCATTTGGGTCCCACTCCAGCGATGGCCTGACGTGTGATGTCACTTGATGGTTTGTTTTCTCACAGTATGGCCTCCAATCCATCTATATGTCTTCCTGCTTATTTGTTGCACAATTTGTTCCTGGTTGGTTAGCTCCCAGAGATCTCTGTCGCTTATTTTTTCTGACCATTTGATCTTAAGCATTGAGCGAAGGCAGCTGCTGACGAAGTAAGACGTACTACAGGGTTGTATATTTCCTCATCCACATTATACACTCAATATTATAACAAGAGTTCATTGTTTAGCAACTTACCACCCAATCAGATTGGAAAGATTTACAATCATATAAAACAAACGTTTGTTCCTCCTTAGTATCGATAAGGAGAAGCAGCAGTCAGTGGTTTGTTGTCAGTTCGTTCACTGTCATCCATCAGCGCGAAACCAGACAAATTCAACTTGATATATATATAAATAGTTTTAAAAAAAGGCTAAATAGAGAACTTCTCTCTTGTTGATATCGTTTCTATGGTAGTGACAGTTACTAAAATCAAATAATACTCCTATTTACAACAGTAGGATATACGGTATTCCTGGTTCCGTAATTTATACGAAAACCTGTTAACTGATACATCCACGGCTATATAGACACGAATATCGACAATCTATCACTAACAACACCATACAATTAATTCTCAGTTGGCTTCTACAGCCAGCTACATAACTGAGAACACATACGGAAATGTGTAGGGAACTATATTCACATCACACAAGAGAATAGTAGAAGAATATATAATACTACTGGTTTGTTAAAGCAGACAGCGTCGCAGGAAGGGTACACCCACTGGTTGGTGGTCTGTCAGTGAACCCAGCCTATTATATCCCATCACCATTCGACTGGATGTCCAACCTACACATACTAAGGCACACTGTATCAATTGGCAAAGAAGAGAGAATAGCTGAATGCTCGATTGGCTTTTATTTCACAAAAAGTGTGGTGAAAGACACCAGAATAGGGAATCGCAAGATACAAATGCGCAAGTGTTTTGAACAATCTGCAGCTGGATGATTTGAAACCAACTTCGGATTGCTTTTTTTTCCACCTTACTAATTAAAACTGCTGTTATATTTTACTTAAAATGAAAATCAAGCCTACTATGTTATACTCCCACTCCTCCAAAAAGAACAGTCGAAACACTTTCGTCTTACAATTATCATTCTGCATACAATTCCGTTTTCCAGTGTTGGTTTCCAAGGATTAGATTGGTTAGAGAATTGATCACGCGCTGATATAGGGGTTAGAGAACCATTGGAAAATCAACACAGAGTACTTGACAACTAGCTGTTTCGTCAACCTAGTTTCCGACTCATCACATTACACAACCACACTGGAAGGTTCGACCCCATCTCGTAACTGGAAGGTCCTGAATTCTAACCCCATCGGTAGGGTGTATATTGATGAAGATCACCAAACTAGGCTGACGAAACAGCTGTCCAGCACTCTCTGCTGGTTTATCAATAGTTCTCAAACAGTGGTGTCAGCCAATGATGAAATCCTGTATGCATTGAAATTTTATGGCGGTTACAACCAGTTTCGGGGTAATGGAAGGATACGTCAGCAAATTACTGAGAAATCATACCACAGAGTCATATAAAAGTGCAAGCAGTGAATTTCAATGAAAATCTGGAAGAAACACTCATAAAATCAATAGATTTTCGAATTACCTACAAATAACTCAATACAGGTGAATATGAATCCATTAATGAACGAACAATGCATGATATCACAAAAGCGATTCTAAGAGAATTATTGATTTTCATGATTAAATCCTCCATGCAATTATGGATTTCACGACTGCATATTGTATTGATTAGTCGCGGTAATAGTCGATGACAAAGTGATAATTTCGTTTGAACTTGGCGATCTAACCTACAGCTGATGAGGTCCAGAGTAAGTGAAAACACTAGAATATCGAGAGCTCCACCTAAACCCGTCCTTTGGGGCCTTAAAGTCTCGAACTATGCATAACTGCTATTTAAGGACAGTTGAGTTAATATCGGTAATAATGCACAGAGTACAACAATAACGATTAGGTTTGTAATTAATACGCTATTTACAAAATAAAAAATAAATCCTTTTCCTGAATAGGATACAGCATTTAATATTTAGACCTTACAATTTCAAAACTGAAACATCTTGTTTTCGTAGAGCGAAAATCGTCTACATCAGCGTAGATTTACTCATCACTTATCCTATTTACACGCCTTGAGCACATCTTCACTAGTCTTCATTCATTCATGTTCCGACTTGTTGTATCTGTGGTTTTTTTCATTGTAGGTAGTATTATTAAATTTCTGTTCCAGTGGGAAGTCGTGACCAGTAGGGTATAACAGGTCGGGCGTCGGGACCAATATTCACCGAAGACATGAATTGGGAGATGATGGAATTCATGGGCCATTGAATTGCGTCCCAGTACCTTGACGGTCTACGAGTTCGCTAACCATGTAGCCAGAAGTTCTAGGGTTCGAACCACGGTGGGTGCATCGTGCTGAAGAGTCCCAAACTAGGCTGGGAAAACAACTAGCTGGTGGCTTTCCAATGGTTCTCTAACCAGTGTCAGCGAACGATGAAATCTTCGAACCAATCAATAAAATCCCTACAAACCAATACATGAAATTTCTGTTCTATTATCTTGTAATATGATCCTATAAAGTGTGACACAACTTCGACTGATACATATTCGATCGAAGCTCAATGTTAGTATACACATCAGTTGTATATTGGCGTGTACACTAGTAGTTAATTATTGATGTGAGTAGCTAGAACGTACTAATGTTGACCAGTAGTAGTTGGCTAGCCAAATGTGAAAGCGATATCTAACTAAACATTGGTCAATCTTATAATGCATACTAACTGACTTTTAATGTGAATGGGATATGTACCTTTTTTTCTTTCACGTTCCCCAGTGGAACATAGGGCTTCAAGCTAGTGGCTTGAAGTTTCTGTAGCAGTGTTTATTTTACAGGATGGGGTTGTCAGCCTCATGCCCAACCTTTGCTCTTTACCAGCATTATTTCTGGCTTAGCGAGGTAAAGGAGTGCGTCCAGTGGCCTAGGATCGAACCCCAGACCATGTGCCTGGTCCGTGAGCGTCCTAACCCTATGCCACCGACGCTATCTGCCATTACATTGATATAAATCCATTTAATTTTTTAATCCACGTTGAACTTTCCCGCTGACTGATTGAACAGCAACGTGTTCGGCCTCAGGTTGACATATACGCCACTTGTACAGATGCTTCGGCGATGCCCCACTACATAATTTGACGCTCTCGTGGCGCAAATGGTCTAATGGATAACCTGTTATGGTGTTTGAAACTATAGGTACTGGATCTGAGCCTCAGCGAGGGGGGTGGGGAACACCATCATTGATTCACTTACTGGGGAATACAGGTACATCCAGCCAGTCACAAAGAGGACGAAGTGCACATCCACGTGGACTCCACTGCTAATCATCACCCACCAATTTACATCTGATAGAGGTGTTTAAAACTCCCACCAACCACACACACACATACATCTTTGTATGAAGTCCCTAAGGAATTGTTTTCTGCCAAGTTGATGACTGACACGAGAAATCATGACCACTCACTCACCAACGCAATAGATTAAATGAAAAAATAATAATAAAAAGACCTAAGCATTTATTAATTTTTCTCATTAAAAAAACAAGCAGAAGAACATCATTTTATTCCAAAAACTTGTTGGCTACTACACCGCCACCACCACTAGAGAGGCGAAGAGGGGGGTGGGGTGAATAAACTTCATTAATATACTACCACTAGACTGAATGAAACTAAGCGACAAAAGAAGTAGAATAAGTGAAGTATGGTAATCTCAAATCATATAAACACTGTCTCTCTCTCCCTCTCGTTGTCTCCCTTTCTGTCTCAAAATAACAATACTAACTACACTTCTCTACAGTAGGTAGCCTCTGGGTGTGTGCGTGCACACACGCGCGCATAGAAAAAAGTGAAAAGAGAAGAGAATATAATGAGGAAAAGGAAAACAAAGACTGTTTACACAGTGACGATGATGATTACGCCTTCAGCAATACTTGAATCGGTGCAATAGAACCGAGATTGGGACCAACCAATGAGAAGGCAACTTGATTATCTTTTACGGTCTTCTTTAAAGCCTATAATGTAATATATCAAAAGTAGTTGTAGCAAAAAGAACAACGATTATAAAAGTTACCATAGGTAGTGAAAGTGCTTTATATATAAATGAAATATGGCTATTAATGACCACTTGAATATTAAATTATACATGTTAACCAGTTATGGTTATCGATGAATACTATATATGAAATTCAATACTGTAGCGTTTATCTATATGCTGCGCGCTGTCTAGCTCTACGCCTGCGAAACCTGACCTCTCCGAACTTAGCATGTGGGGATCCCCGCATACTCCTCGATCATCACTGTTTCCGTAGGATTGATTGCGTTAGATGCTATCATCGCATAAGTAATTCCGAGGTCCGGCAAAGGATGTTTGGACACACTGATTAAGTGCCATCATCTGAAAACACCGGCTTCAGTGGATTGGACATGTGCTATGGACGTCATCCTAGAGGCTTCCGTATCGGTCTCACTAGCCCTGGGAAGGGATGGAAAAAGAGGAGAGGCGGAACGCCAATGACGTAGCGTCGTGGGATGGATGATATTTGTGGTAGGTTCGCATTGGTTGGTACACATCACGACTTCCTGATTGAGGTTCGAGCGTCAGCTGAAATTTTGCTTCCCAAATCCCTCTCTGACAATAATTCGATGAATGCGGTTAAGTATAACTGCTTTCTTCCCAATTGAAGCCCTGTATTCGAAAGTGGTTGCTTCCTTCACTTGTCTAGGAAGCACGGTTTCAACCACAGGGATTATGAACCGATGATTTCAGAGCCAGCCAGAATCAGAAATTCAAGACACACACGCCTTCATCAACCTGAAACCAGTTTGGAAATCCGATGATCTATTTTAATGTCTGTTAACTCCCAGAGCTTGACTGTACTAGGATCAACAGCTTTCTATCAGAAGGTAGCAAATTGCCTCCGTCTGGTGGCCTTAAACTAAATCCTTACAAATGTCAGACTGTTGATTTCAGTTTCCGATGTGTAAAAGAAAGTTAAATGAAGCTGTTGGTTCTTATGACCATTGTAAAATTGATGATAATGATGATATAGAAATCAAGTCTGAAGTTAGTTAAGTACCTTGGATTAATTCTTTCTTCTGACCTATCCTGGTCTTCCATGTCTTAACGATTTCTAAAAGAATATTTCGTCCGACATTTTACATTAAGAAGTTAATGTACTCAGGCATAACCCAACCTCTCCTCTTACAGTTTATCAACTCGTGCATCTTACCTATTCTTCTTTACTGTTCACTCTTATTCTCTCCTGGATTGCTTAAAACAAACTACTTCATACTTCGTAGAATTCTGAGGACTTTCGGTCAGTAGGGCGAGTGGTATCCCATTGGGACATATCGTTGACATAGTCATTGGTAGACATTTGGTGTCATGTAACAAATTTGATAAAGGAATCTTGTTAGACTGTGAGCATCCACAGAAGCACCCCCAGCTCCAACTTGTGTCTCCTCGGGTAAAACAAAAAGTCTTTTCAGAAGACTTTATGCACGCATGTCGAAGTATAAAAATTCCACTATACCATATTTGGCGGCACGTACTTTATGTGATGAAAATAGTGTTAAGCATTAACTGACTAACTAACCTTCTTCGCACTACTAAATAAACCATTTCCTCCACCCTTACAACATCAACAACATCAATTTCGTGTTTTTGTTAGTTTATTTTTTCATAAATGTGAGCATCATTTAAGCTGTGTTATAACTGTTAATTTTGTATTTCTCCTCACCATACTGTATCAACAGATCATTAGATTCAATACTCTATAATAACATGCTACAATTTCGACACTTAATCATTATCATTATAATATTTAATATTCTCAACTCGTACTTTGAATATTTTTAACTTTATACCGTAAATGTGCACAAATTCCCCTGGTGAATCTTGTTTTAATTTTTAATTCTATTTATATTTTAAGTAAATCAGATGCAAGGTGTTGTGACAAATACTGAGAATTCCATTCTGTATTATAAGTACTGTCTGTTTTGGAATAGAGTAGATTATTATTATCATTATTATTATTATTATTATTACATTCAGTGTAACTGAAGTACTTGAAAGACACACACAAAAAAAGAAAAGAAACAATTACTAATCCGAAACAAAAAAATATGTGACTTACATCATTCAAAGTGTTTACATTGACTTGATCAATTTCAGGGACTAATTCCGTCGGTTTTTTACACTTATCAACTGATGAAAGTAGATTAGTCGAAATATCAATAAGTGTATGCAATGGATTTTCATATCTAAACATCAGATCAGCTCTATAAAGTTGTCTGCAAAAATATTCATCAAAAGAGGTATAATAAACACACAAGTGTGAAGGGAAAATCAATAGTAATTAATATACAAGAACAACAATAGAGTCTCATTGGATATGATTGACAAATGACAAAGACTGAATGCATCTGTGCCATTTGACAACGATTTTATAAACTGTATTACCCAATGGTCTCCAGTCGCTGGCATTGGTTCTTACTACCCTGAGGAATCCAACCACAGTGGCAATCAACACCTCCCTCCTTAAGTACGTGGCTGGCTGGCTTAAACTAACTGTTATGGATTTCATTGACTGATGAAACCATGTTTTGGTTTGCCCACCACGTACTACCTCTTTTCCAACCTAATCCATCTTATGTCAATGGCCAGCATTGCCTGTTGTCGAGGAAGGCGATGGTTAGGCGTGTGTAACACTTGTCCCGGTCATCAGCTGTGTCGGTTGGTTTTTTCCTCCAACTCACCAACCAACCACTCAACCGAAGTCTATCCTCCTCAATACTACTCACACCCCACCACCTACCATCCAGGATACACGGGAGATAGAACACAGACAGATACACCTATGATGAAAGTCATGTCTCCCACTTTCAATGGGGGCCATATCTCATACACAGTAAGCCATAGAGGAGGACGGGTGAAATGCTGAGCAGTACACTCGTCCTTTCGTTGGTATACAAGCAAAATATAAAAGTAATAGTAATAGCAACCAACATTCACAGTTGGAGGCACAGCATACAGAAGCAAGCCATTACATTTTGTTAATTTATCACCACTCAGAATTAGTATGATTGATGACAATTGTGACGGTGAAATGAAATCTGGATTGGAGAAATATGTAAACAGTTCAACGTTGAAATGAACTGCGAGTCCGAACTACTGCCAACAAGATCATCATTTCACAGTCAGTCTCACAGACTTGTTGCCAGTGAATCAACAGACTCAGATAAACACAGTGAAGATTTTCTTTTCGACGTATCACATTCTCCTGCAGACAGTTAATCCAGTCTAACGCTAAGGACAAGATACCGCTTTTGGCCACTTCAATGTGTATTTATCAATTCACTTGCTCGTGTGGAGCAAAGTATATCGGCCGTACGCAACGTCAAGTCTACAAAAACGTATTCTGGAACATTGCCCAGCTTGGTTAGCCAGAGGAGAAAAAAAGAATAGCAACAGCTTGATCCTCGAACACCTACTTTGTCATCTCCAGACATCGAAAAATCTCACATGAATGTTTCAGTGTTACACACAGTCCCTCAATATAGTAAAAAAGGACTTTGGACACACGATCTGTACATAGCTGAAGCATTAGCTATTCGAGATATGAAACCGGACCTCTACATTCAAAAGCGATACATAAATTCTCTTGCCCTACCATGGCCAGAGTAAAGTTCTTACTTCAATTTTCCTTCTTTCCTTTATAATGTAGGTTCACTATTGTTATTATTATCAATACTTTTATTATCTTTATTATTCCCATCATCCACATTTTATTACCACTCTATTACTGTTTGTTAATAACATTGCTTTTTCATACAGACTTTCTATAAGAACACTTTATCGCCTTTCCACTAGTTCCTGTCCCCATTCTACACGAGCTTATTGATTAGTCATTATCTCACACTGATTACGTCATGCCAACTTCGGCCTCTTTTCCAACTTACAATTAGTCATCCCTTCTTACACCTTACATTATGTAGCACAATTTTCAAGGAAAAAATTCGCCAGTATCTGATTGGTCTAAAGATTTCTGTGTTAATTATAATTACGATTGTACAGCTCATGAAAATGAATCGTCGAGAAGAAAGTTTTCTTCGCTGTTTGTGCCTTTTTCTTATGACTCAATATGGGAATATTTCGTTCATTGAAGACTCAGATGCGTATGGTCGGTTTCACAGTTTGACTTTAAGGAGACAGGAGGAACTTGATGTTCTGTATCAAAACGGTGTATTAATCTTATCTCAGTAACTCAATGACATACTTGCTTAGTCGTGCACTCAGTGTGACTAACCGCTCTCGAACAGCTGAACTTGTAAGTGAGCGAACAAACACAGGAGATGAAATTAGACAGTCTTTCATTTTGCAGACAAGATTCAAATTTTCAAAACTAGTGCCAATTTAATACTCCGATATGTTTCACGCAAGCATTTCACGAACAGGCCACAGCATATTTTCATCTACAAATGCTTCCACTCGACACTGAAAGTCAGATGGGCGGAAAGAACAGGCTAGCAACAAGGAGCTCAGACAGTGTAAAGTAAAGAACCAACCAACTAATGACTTGTAGACCCAACAAATATGTGGGAGGAATTAAAAATGGATTAGACATACGTTGGTTGAGAAGACCTTTGAGTGGTATTTCATGCCAGGCCATCGCCTGGAACCAACATGGGTATATGCTGAGTGTCCGAGAGTGACATGGGGTAGACCATGTGAACAGTCAGTCAAAAGAAACCACAGAGAACAAAGTACAATCCAGACGTACTGTCGAAGCTCTGTTTTCCCCTCAGAACCCGAAGGACGATTAATAGCGATACTTCATTTTGCTAAATATTTATTGATCAACTGAAAATAGACGACCTGATATGTGCATTAAATGTCATTCTAAAATCCCATTCCAGGACTTTATATATCATATTGTTGACAATATTACCATCAATGAGTTGGAGTGCAAGGACCATTGACCATCAAAAAGTTCCTAACAGTGCCTTGACTGGACACTGCTTAGTAACTAGTATCATGCATCCAGTCTTTTGTTTGATGCAGACTGAATTCTATCCGTCAAGTGTGCAGTGTGGCCACCATACCAGTGGGTGGCTCGCCACGGCAATACACTACACTGTGAACTGTTGATATCAGACGGCTGGAGGCAATCGGCAGGAAGCCTTGGACACCACCTGTTTCGTGCCAGTTAGCACTCACATGTCAGCAAGGCACATCTGCAATCTTCAAGGAACTCATGTCCCTTCCGACGTTCGGACCCGTGTCACCACCCAGTGCTGCAGTCATTCAGAGACATTACCATTGAGCTATTCGGGTTTGCGACTGATCCTAACAGTCAACTGGTTATGAGAAACATTGTCTGCAGTTTATGTACTTCACATTATTCCACAATAACTAGAAGAATCCCAAGACAACATTCAATACGCAACTATATGCAAATGTAGATTCTTCATGTACACCGTCAGAAGGAAGGTACACTCTTTTCTACAACTAGGTGAATTCTTCCTCTGGTTTATGGGTTTAAAGCTCTTAGAGAATGATTATAAAGCGAATAGTTTGTAGCTATAAAAGGCAAACTTACTTAGCTTGCTTAAGATTCTCCTCAGTGAAATTTGCAGAACGCAGTGCTTCAATGATACGTTTTACTCTGGCCCCGACTGTTTTAGGGCAAGCTCCAGCTACAGCCACTCCAAAAAGACCATGATCACTGTATAATTTATGAAAAGCCACAGCTTCAGTTTCACTGTCACCTTCAGCAACTGTACTAGCCAGCAAAGATTTGGAGGCATTCCCACCATGCTCTATTCGATTTGATGAACCATTCAATGCAGAAACAATCAAATCATATACTGGACAAGATCCTTTAGCAGGCCATGCTAAATACGCGTAAACAGTAGACGCAGCATTTAAATCTCGACGTATTTCGCCTAAAATCAACACGTAATACCAACACACACACAAAGGGTTATGATGAAATAAAATACGAGAAAAATAAAAACAAAATCAGCGTCGTGAAAACACTTCATGCTAAGTAACTTAGAAAAAATAATTTTCCTGGAGAACTTTTAAAGAAGGAAGTGCCATGTCGCCTACAGAAGTGTATGCTAGTTGGTTAGATAGTGCGTTACCAAACACGCACACGTAGCCCGAGGTTCACTCCTCGGCCTAGGCACTCCTAAACCTTACTAAGTCGGTAATTAGGGCCAGTAAAGGGGGGAGTTTGGGAGTGAGTCTAGCAACCCCACCCCGTAAAAAAAATAAAATTTCTGCTACGGAAACTCCACAACTATAGCTTGAAGCCCCAGAGGAAAACAATAATTTTCTTCAAAAAAATAGTTGGATAATGACCCTAACGTTTGTTTGCATTGATCAGGAAAAAGGCTGGAACCAATCGATATAACTCAAACAGATTTCACAACTTAGCTATGAGGATGAAGAATATACAATGTGGTTCATCGAAAAAGCATGAAGTGTCTACTGCACAAGGACTAGTAATATTATCCAGCATTTTAGACATCAACGGGTCGGTTGGCTTCCAAACACAATAAAGCTGAATTCCCGATGTCTGTCTGTCTGTTTTCGACATAGAACTTTGCACAAATGTGCGGAAGTTCAAATCGCCACACTCCCTCCTTGTAGCACACAAAGCAAGAGAAGAAAGTACAAGAAAAGCATAATAGAGACAGTGAGCAGAAGTGTGAGACAAAGGAATAGTAATAACGAAGAACAAAGTAGTTTCATTGGAGATCATAAGTCACAAGGAGTGGATGCATCTGCACTGTCAATGAGAACGATTTTGAGCCATGTCACCAATTGTTTCCAACCATAGATTTTACCGTCCCGAGGACCCCAACCAGTCAGGAAGTCCACACCTTCCTACGTGGCTTAGACTAACTGTTGTAGATTTCATTGACTGGTGCCATGTTTTTGTTTGACCTCCGCTAGCTTTTTTCCAGCCTGACCCTATATCCGCTAACATTGCTCGTCGAGGGAGCCGATGGCTCGGCATACGTAATACATGTCTTAACCATCTCAGTCTTTGCAACTTCACAACTTCGTCGACTGATTTCCCCTGTTTACCTAGCACTCTACCGACGCCTAACCTCAATATTCCTCACCTTATCATGCCACTTCCCACGGGAGATAGAACGCACTATTATTATTATTATTATTATTATTATTATTATTATTATTATTCAGGTGGACTTCCAGTGGAATCTACGGGGCTTCAACAGAACATCCCCATTTCACACTGTCCTCTGCAGTCCTTTTAGCTGCCTCTACGATTGCCTAGTTTGCTAGGCGATTTGAAACCTGGAAAAAAGGGAAGGCTGGGCATGGCACCAGCGACCCTACCCATAAAGTCGGCCCAATCGTTGCAGAGCGACTTCAAAGCAGAGAAAAGAGCATTTTTTTAAAAATCTACGTATTCTTTGAATGAGTCGGAGACAAAATGACGCAGACTGATGAATGCTTTCGGGAAGCCAGCCAACCAACCAACCAGCTGATGTGTCTTCTTTCGTCAGCAACGAAAATAAGCATGAGGAAGACATAGAATGTTCACAAGATGTTTAAAGCTGAGAAGGCTGCTCATAGATTGCAACTAAATAAATGACAAGCTATGCTACAGAAGTGCTCGAAACTTATGAGAACAAGTGGAATAGGAGTGAACTCTACAAAGCCTCAGGATGGTCGGGGGTGGGTGTCTTGCGCTGCGGGTTGGCCACCCCTCCGTACACCTCTTGAAATGCTCCCATATGACCGGGCATCTTACATAGCCTCTCCCGAGGAAGTCCTACTCACTGCCTTCACGTGGCGGAGGTGTTTTTCACCGAAGTGAGAGGGCAAAAGCGGATGCCCGGCGCTCTTCACCGGGTTGACTGTCCATTGGATGACAGTCTAGGGGAGATGGCTAAACCCCGATTCCAAACCTCCAACGACTGGCGTATGAAGCTCACCGGCAGACGTATGGACAAAGGGCTTATTGGATGCCCTGGATGACTGGCCTCATTCAAAAAGGCGAATGAACCGGACTCCGGTCACCAGCTGCCAATGGATAATGGACTCCCTACTCCACTCCTACTGCCTTGTAGGTCACACTTGGTTGTGTAAAGGCTAGAGCTGCACTCTCAAACAAAAGGCCGAGCGATGCTGGGGACATCACTCGTACCCAATTCCCATGAAACTTCATTGTTCATGAAGCCGGCTCATCCTCCCGTAGGAGATAGCCGAAGTAAAGTAAGTAAGTAGAACTCTACAAATTGTTAACAATCCTACTTCAGTCATCCGAAACGACAACCACGAGTGACTAACTGACTGACTGGTTTCAACGTAGAACACGTAACGTTTCCTAATTTTGGATTTGATCTTCAGAAAGATAATGTTTTCTTTGAGCAGCACAACTTCTGCAATCATACCTGATATGGGCAAATCCATAGACCTCCCTTTAATTTATACATATATTTGGCTGTTGAATTGAAAATACGTTGTTAGACATAGGTGCATGTGCATTTGAATGTTGTGGGAAGTGATCGTCCTTGCTGAATAACTGCTCCATGATTTTTTTACTAGCCCATACTGTCCATACTTCGACTGGACAGAAATCATTTAGCAGTAGAACTTGATAAGTCGTGCAAATCTACGATTGAGAAAGAAACAACAGACTGAGCGAAGAAATATGCATTCCTTTTCAATTAGCAGTTTCTCACCATCATCGGTTGGCTCTACACTAATATATAATTTTTTACATCAAAAATCGTTTACCAATCAAGTGGTTATTTAAGTTAATCACCTCTAAGTATACCTAGGGGGCATATGAAATCAAGAGGTTAAAACTCATCAGAACAATTACCTAATAGGGGGAAAAATGAATTACGGAATTCAAGATAAGTTGATTTTTGGGTGTTGGCAATAATAATAGTAGTAACAATAATAATAATAATAATTTGCCTTATTCCAAAACAGTACTTGTGATACAGAATGGAATTCTCAGTATTTTACTACAGTGTTGCATCCAGTTTGTACATTAACAATAAATAAAATTCTACATAGATTAAGGGTAATCTCAGTTCATTATGACAACAACATATTGGCATTTCGGTGGCAAACCCAAAATTGAACAGAAGAATGTTATAAATAGAGTTCGTAAGGAAGAGAGGAACAAAACAGCACATAACAAAAAAAAGAGAAAAAGAAAAGAAAGAAAACGTTGTACCTATAAATGATGTGAGTTGGAAAGACGAGATCCAATTGTTCTACTGACTATTTAATAAGTTATAGGTATCACGCCTAATGCTTTCTTTATCGCACAGAACACGAGCTAAGTAAATTATACTTGAGTTTTTGTACTTACTAGTGCGAGCATATAGTTTTCTATACAAGCTTCTGGTTTGGCCTGATGAGATACAAGGGGAGAGTTGTGAATGAAGAGGGTGGTGTGAGTTAGACAGATAGAATGGATTTAGCCCATTTCTCACAAGAGTCCAAGTGCTTGTCGACCAGAATATTAACAAGCTGGTTAAGTGGCACGTTGTTTACCCTGCTGACAACCTTTAACATCCCGCGTAATAAGGTATAGTCTTTCTTCAGTAGCCCTGGAAAAACTAAGGGGGAACAATAGAGAATAATAGGCAGAATACGGGAGTTAACGATTTATAGGAGTAAGGGTTGGGTTATACCAGAATATCATAACTTCTTGATGTAGAAGGTAAGACGGAATATTTTCTTCGAAATCATCAAGATATGAGACGACCAGGAAAGATCAGCAGATAGAATGACGCCTAGATATTTAATTTCCGATTTGGTTTCTATTTCAGTGCCATCTATGTTGCACACCTCGTGAGTGCTAACCACCAGTTTGTTTAGGTCAGATTTATGCCTAAAGGTGAAATTGACTGTTGGGCATTTAGAAGGGTTTAAGGTTAGACCGTTTTTACATAACCAAGAAATTTGTAAAATAGCAATGATGACTGAGAGAATTGGATGGATGACCCAGCAGAGCTATGTAAAATACAAACAAGTTAATAGAATTAGCTAGAATTGCAATCACATAATAAAATAACAAAGTCAAAAGATAGTGGGGAGGGGAAGAAAACCGTTTTTAAAAACTTAATACATATTATGTAGTTGGTCATGGCAAAAAGAAAGGGGCTGTATAAATTTCTCCTGAGCTGATACTCAGATTTGTCTTGTTCAGATGAATTCCAATTGCCTCCTCTGCTGTATGTAAAAGCCGTACTCAGAGAACATGCGAAACGTTAGATGAAAAACGATGAAGGACTTTAAAAGCTTTGTTGGAGTCAACTTGATGTCCACTATCGACGAGATGAGCTAGTATTTGGCTGCGTATAGCAGCTTTATTCAGACCTTTGACAAACCAAAATGGCAGGTATTCACAAATTCAACAATGAACTCGCCTGATTGTACGCCCAATGTAACTAGCTCTACACGAACAGTTGGTCTTCATTTCCTCAACTAAGTAGTGGTTGACTGGTGAATAATAATAATAATAATTTTTTGCTTTATTTCAAAAACAGTAATAATGATACAGCAAGGAATTTTCAGCATTCAGTACAATATTGCATCTAATTTACTCAAAACCACAAAAAGATAAATAAACATTACATAATAATAATAAAACGTTGTTATAGTAGCTACATAGCAAAATACTGTATGCAATACTGTGAAAAATATGCATAAAGTACAAAATTGTATTATTAATAATAATAATACCAACTAAAATAAAATAGCAGAGTAACAATTAAACAATAGAAAGTGTGACACCATAAAATACAGAAAGGTGAACTATGAAAGGGTCGATTCACTGTGGTAATTACATAGTAACTTACAAGTTTCACGTCTAACAGAGTCTTCGTCACATAAAGTACGGGCTAAATAGGGTATTGTAGAATTTCTATACTTAGTGGTACGAGCATATGACTTTTTATATTGACTTCTCGTCCTACCTGATAAGATACAAGGGGATAGGTGTGAATAAAGGGGGTGCAGAGGGTCTGACAGTATAGTCTTTGCCCATTTTGTACAGGAATTTATATGCCTCTCGACTATAGTATTAGCGAGCTCATGCAGTGGCAGACCACAAGCTCTACTCACAGCATTTAATACTCTTCGTAATATGATATAATCTTTTTTGAGAAGCCCAGGAAAGATTAATGGAGAGCAATAGAGTACAATAGGTAAAATACAGGAGTTTAAAAATTGCAAAACTAAAGGTTAGTTGATACCTGATTGTCTTAACCTTTTAATGTAGAAGGTAAGACGAAACATTTTCTTAGAGATAGATAAGATGTGTGATGACCATGAAAGGTCAGAGGAAAGAACTAATCCAAGGTATTTAATGCTTGACTTGGTTTCAGTTTCCGTGCCATCTATGCTACAGAGATCATGCGAGCTAACTAGTTCATGTAAGTCACGTCGATGCTTGAAAGTAAAGTAAAGTGCCTGACAGTTGGAAGGATTTCATATAAGACCATTTGACTTGGACCAAATGTTGATGTCCAACAGAAAGCTATTAAGTTTGGAGCTGTCAGACCTGGAAGTGATAGGCAGTGATACAGTCAGATCATCTGCATATTTGACAAAGTTAGTTTCGTTTGAATGAGGCAGGTCATGTAGGAAGAAAGAAAAAAGAAAAGGAGAGAGGAGAGCACCTTGTGGAACACAGTATAACTTAGCTGCATAGAAAGTCTTCTAGAAGTCCCTTCTCAGATGTTGTGATAAGATTTTACCATTAACATCACTCATGAATCGCAATCTTAAAAAGACTGGTTTTTTGGAGAGCTAATTTCATATTGTAACGACAGACGACATTGGCCAGGCAAAAGATCGTTTATTGAGAAAATCAAGAGATATTTATAGATTTTTATGTACATTGTTGTCAGCAGAGAAGCAACATCTTTTGACTGGTTGTTTTCCTGCTGAATGTACTGCTTGTGACAGTTTCTTAGAAAGTTCAGCCATATGTATATATATATATATATATATATATATATATATATCTGCGAATCATATCTCCATACGTTAGCTCCGATGTGATTGGTTGATGAGTTCCTCAAGGTTAAGGCTTGTTATTGTTTTTCTCATGACCTTGACGTATATTGTTGTCTCCAATTTTGACCTGCAGCCAGCCCTCACCACAATATGCCTATTCAGAAATTATTATTTTTATTATATATTAGTTTAGGGCAGGTGATGAGGAACTAATTGAAAAGGAGTCTATTTCTTCACTCAATTTTTTGTCTTTTTTTTCCTAACTGCGTAGATGATAATTTACAAATTACTGAAATCTACAATTATCTTTGAGATTCAGCAAAACTTCAACTAGTATAGATATATAAATTATCGTACAATTAAAACTAACAAAAGCAAAGCAAAGACGGAATACATCTTACCTCCAATAAATCCATGACTTTCTGATTTAGTTTCTGTTTTTGGAGGATTAAGATAAACAGAATTTTTCACTGTCTTCAGTATATCCATACCATCTCGATCAGGGTTTGCATGTACAATGCCCAAAACACATTTTTCTGCACTAAATCGACTTTTATGATATGCTTCGATTTGATCAAATGAATGTGATCCAACACGATCAATCGGTGCTACCAAGGAATTACCTAAACCACAGCCTGAATCACTTGTACCAAAAGCTGCTTCGTGTAATAACTCAAAAGCCACTTTGAAATTAAAAAAAAAAGCAAAATAACAGATTTTATTCAATAAAGACACAAGCATATGTGGTTGGTGTGATCCAATCTAAGTTAAATCAGATCAAATAAAACTGAAATAAGAATTTATTTATTTAATAAAATTTTGGAAACAAAGATGGTTACATGCAAGGAGAGGCGCGGCGGTGACACGATGGTGGAATCCTCGCCGCCAACCATGCAGGTGGCTACGGGTTCGATCCCCAGCTGGCGTACTTCTTTACCTCGCTTGTGCTAAGCCAGTAATAGAACTGGTAAAGAGGGAAGGTTGGGGCATGAGGCTGGCTAGCAACCCCATCCTGTCTGTGAATGAGGTGCTCTTGGAAGTGTGTGGGCAGTTGTTACTTCCCGGCTGCCCACACCGTGGAAGTTGATTGATTCTTCAGGTACCTGAAACAGTGAGTGGGTTAGTGTTGCGTGACTGCAGAGCCCAGGGGACAATTGCTTGAGGCTGGCCGGTCACACACGGCCTGTATGAACTGGTTTCTGGGATTGGTTCCGTATTAGTAAACTTACCGCCGGTTACGGACCACCGTAGGGTAAGTCGGGATGTACAATTTTCGGGGTCGACTTTTTCTAACGCCTCCCCTCCAGAGTGAAGAGACAGTATAGTTGGCTGGCATGCTGGTCATCTGAGGGAAACACCTCACTGCTGTTACACGCCTGTTCCCCAGCAGTACAACTTCGCCCTCAGACCCCCCAGCATGGTGTAACAAAGATTCTTACACTAAGCCGGTAAGTCTAATCGCTATCCTAACAACCTTCCTGGCATGGTAGGACCTGCAGGAACATATGTTCCAGCCAGTGAAAGCTTGTTGGGTCATCGCGATGTGCAAGCCCGACCACCACATCAAGGTAGCAGCTATCGGTAGGGACCCCATCCTGTTTGTTTATTTATTTTTACCTCATCCTGTAAAAATAAACAAACACCACTGATACTGAAACTTCAAGCCGGTAGATTGAAGCCAGCCGCCCTATCTTCCACAGGGAATGTAAACGGAGAACGCAAACGCAAAAACAGACAAAAAAAACCACTTACATCCACTTAAATTTCGTCTATTCAAAATATCAACATCTTTACGCATTAAATGATAGATAGTATCTTTCAGCTCCCAAGCATAATAACACGGAGATGAAGCCATATTGCATAGAAGATGACCAGCTCGAGTAGCAAAGTTAGGCGCAACATCTACTGTATAGATGGTATGCTCACGCGTTGTTTTACATCTGAAAGGAGAAGTAATTAGAAGGTAGATAAAGTGAATAAACATTTCATAAAACTTATACGTGTGTGTGTGTGTGTGTGTAAAGCAGGCTGAACATCACAAATATGCACATACATACACAATATCTAAGGCAATCTGGTAATTGTATGAACCTAATTCAGGCAAGCAACAAAAGTGAGACTTTATTCAAACTAATTATTATATGAAGAAAAACAGAATAAAATAGACATCTTTACTTATTTATTTATTTGAGCGCATAAAAACTTGGTACAATATGGCACCAAGAAGGATGCGCCACACAATAATAATAAAACAACATAGATCAAAAGAAAAAAACATATAAGTAGAGAACGGATAAAGAACTTCAGCTCGAAGGAATACAGTCATGCTTAACAAGTTCAAACAGTATTCGTTAACTATCATCGGGAAGGGAAGAAAGAAGGAAATTGCAACACGTTCGCCATTGATTACGATTCTTGGCCATATCCAATAACGTTTCAAGCCATCGACTTGAGCTATCTCTCGGACCCCAACCAGGGAGTCGTGACACACCAACCGATGCTAATCTAGCACAAAAATCCTTCGTCCCACGACACCACGTCATGGACTGACCACTTCTCCGCCTTTTCCATCCAGTCACAGGGCTAGCGAACAGAGATCTGTACGGAAGCCTCTGCGATGACATTCGCAGCACATGTCCAAGCCACCGGAGCCGGTGTTTCCAGATGACGACACTCAATGAATGGTGATCTCCACTGTGTTCAAACACACGCCCCCGAACCTCAGAATTACTCACGCGATGATGCCATCGAACGTAAGCAATCCTGCGGAGACAGTGACGATCGAACACGCAGAGTCGCCGCACATCCTCAGCTCGGACAGGCCAGGTTTCATAGGCGTAGAGCAGGGCAGCCCGCACCGAAGCATTGTATACCTGACCTTTGGCAGCCAGGCTAACATCGCGACGGCGCCATAGGTGGCTCAAGTTGATGTATGCCACCCTAGCCTTCATTATACGGTTGGAAATTTCATCCATCACCCCTCCGCCAGCACTTACACAACTACCCAGGTACACAAACTTATCAACAACTTCAAACGGTTCACCCCCAAGAGTGAGTGCAGGTACAGGCTCCTGCCAATCTTGTAAGTACTTTGCACCTAGACGGCGCAAAGCACATACCATACTTACAGACACTGATCGCCAACTGATTAAGTGAGATTTGGGCAGTCTACATGCTATCAGACATCAGAACTTATAAATAACCGAGGCTTGATTCTTAACTAACTGTAGACGATATTGGTTCACAGCAATGATCCTACGCCTAGAGGAATATTATCATCGAGTGAAGTGAAACACTGCTAAGTTGGACAGTTAAAGAGATGATATAAGAGTTGTTGTTGCTGTTGTTGTTGTAACTTGGCTAACCGGCTCAGATTTCGCACGTACCAGGTTACCAGCGGCATTAAATGTGTCAGAATGAAAGAGATCATGTGAACTGTGTCGAAGCTGTGTTAAAATCTCAGATAACCAAACGGACAGTTAAGCTGTTGTGCCATAAACTAGGAATCAGTAGGATAAAACCGATACCGGAAAAAATTTTGACAGTGAAGACCACTACGTCGCCAACTTCTAAGAGGAAGTTAAGACAGTTGTTGGCGGGAGCAGCGTTTTATAAATGGTTTGTGAAAGACTTCAAAGACATGGTAGCCCTCTGTACCGGCTATGAGGTGAGTCAAAGTTTGTCTGGTCGCGAGAATCGCAGAAGATATTCGATAGCATTAAACAGCTTTCAGACCACCAAAAAATGACGCTAAAACTTTCTCTACCCAGAAAACAGTTCACGGTGTGCACAGATGCAAGTGACTAGGGCATAGGCTGAGCACTAAGACAGGGTGAAGCAGTTGCCAAATATGCCATTAGTGATCAAACACACAGAGCAGAAGTATTCAACGACAGAGAAGGAATGTTTAGCAACAGTGTGAGCGTTAGACAAATGGAGATCGTATTTTCTCGACCAACGGCTCCACATTTAAACTGCTCACAAACCACTACAGTTTCTGAGGATGGCGGGAGACCAAAGTGGGGAATTATTGCGATGGGTGTTGCGTCTGCAGGAGTATAACTTCACGATTTCATACGTCCCGGGTAAAGAAAATTTTTTGGAAGACTTTTTATTTTGACCAGAAGACGAAGTTGCACTACGGAGATTGTTTATGGAGTGCATGCATTGGAACAAGACCCATTAAGAAATACCCGCAAGCAGAAATCCAACCCTACCCTGAATACAGCAATTCAGGTGATCACTAAAGGGACAGAAGTGAATCAACCTACGGTGAGTAAGGATCTGACCACGCTACTCAGACAAAAATACCGATTCAGAGAGAACGCCTGAGGAATTCTGACTTGCCAAAAGACGGAAGCTTGTTGGCGATATATCAGTCTCTACGCCATGAGATGATACAAGAATGTCACCGGCTAGCATATACAGGAGTAGCCAGTACAACCGATCTCTTCAAACACAGCATGTACTGGCCAGGTATGAGAGAAGTGGCAAAATATTTACTTGTATGTCCACAGTGCCACCTCTACAGTCGATTCCAGTTACAGCAGTGAGTGACTTGTGGGTCACAGGTATGATATGCCCGTCCCCGCATATATCCAGTGGCAATCAATAACTCCTAGGGATAAAAAAAACAAGCCACACGATGGTCAGACGCCATCAAGATCCCGGATCACAGGCCAAGAACAGTAAACGCAGCAGTAATTCGACAGTGGAGTATTTACATTCCGTTAGCCACGGCCGGGCATCAAGCAGATCCGAACAACGCCACAAACGAATGGTTTGACTGAGAGAAATAGCCGTACACTGTAAGAGTGACTAACCTCGGAGGTAGGTCACTTGGAGACAGAGCTTTAATTGATTCTACTAGCACATAGTGCTTCCACCAAGGAAAGAACAAAGAAGTCACCATCTCAGTTGGTGTATGGTAGGAAACCACGACTACCAATACACAGCACAACCTGGACCCTTCACTAGAAGTGAAATATGACGACACTTTGAACGGAACGGGAAGAAACCGTCAGTAATATAAAGTGTAAACAGAAGAAAGACGCTGTGAAGTCAGAACAGGAAGAGAAGATGGGATGTATCACCTTTTAGGCCGCCGACGAAGTAATGTGTAGAGAAGAAAAGTACGCGGTACGATGTGGACCAGGTTCACGGAAACTCCTTTGGAAGTTGGAAGGGCCATACATTGTCACCGACAGAAGTGGTCCCGTGTATACCATCAAGAGAGGAAATAGACAGAAACCTTTCACAAAAGAAAATCAGTTCAATATGCCAGATTTCATAACGACACAATCATGCATTGCTAAAACTTCATGCAAACCCAGCCACATAGCCTACAGTCCTATACACTCCTCAGATATTTTCGTGCTTCTTAAAATTTGTATTCCCATACAGTTAACTTTAACTAATAATACTCGACGATTGATATTGCCACTTCATTATGACTATCGTTTATATCGACGGTGTTGTCCCGAGAAATCATCTAATGACTAAAACTTGCTAACTCTTCAACAGTGCAAAGAACTAGACAATATGATTTAGATTACACCCCACTTACCAATCAATGTGACCATTTCAGTCCTACTGGAGGTCAGTCGTTATACGAATAGGCTTCATGGTAGCGTCTCTGAAGGTGGTTCATATCACTGAAAAGATGTCAGTTTCTTCGAGATTGAAGATGCACTTAATCTATGTCCAAGGGGCTTGCTGCCGATTCTCTTTAGATACCCAACAACATTTAATCAGTGTCGTGCTGATAATTCATCGGTCCTATGAGAGAGGTTTTGTGTGCGTTTTGGATTGTGAGGGCGATTGTTACTTCCCGGCTGCCCACACCGTGGAAGTTCGTTGCGTGACCGCAGAGCCCAGGGGACAACTGCTTGTGGCCGGTCACACGCGGCCTGTTTTTGTTCGTTCTTTGTTGTTTTGTGTGCCTCAGTAGCATACTTATCACTCCCGCCCTGTGACACGGCAGCAGGAAGCGCGGTCGTTGTTAATCCGGGCCACGGCCGATCCGGCATGAAATTTTGTGAATTTGTTTGGATCATGGTATTGGATGAGGTAGCTGCTTTTTGTTTAACCGCTTTCCAAACAACCTGCCTGGCATGGTAGAACCTCAAGAGACATAAGTCTCAGCCAGTATAGCTTGATTAGGTCATTGCGGTGTTCAAGCCCGACCACCACGTCAAGGTAGCAGCTTTCGGTCGGGGGTTCTATGAGACAACTTAATGAACTATGCAGAGTCAATTTACATTTAGTGTCAGAGTTAAAAATAGCCCTAAAATGTCGGGATATGTTGATAAGGTGTACTTATCCTCCCTTTTTATCAACCAATTATAAAATACTTGTGTTAAAGCGAAATAGAATGATAACTACCGCCGCTAATTATGGTTTTCGTCTCTAAATAATCAATACAGAAGAGACAACCTACTTTAGGATTGGAAAAGTCCTTAAAGTAAAGTTCAACTATCGGTAGACAGATTCAAGGGTTCAGCATTCACAGAGTACCGAATAGCTTAATTCGCAATAGGGATTAAAGAACGCTACAATACAAACAAAGTAGAACTAATCGCAATTCACTAAAACTTGAATGTAGGTGCCCTCAAAAACACAAAACGAAAGTTGTAATAATTATAAGCAAGCTGACAATATCCTCAGCCGGAGTTGAGATTAGTATAACACGAAAAACATGAAAAGCCAAAAAGACATAGAGAGCTGTACTGGATGAAGAATCCTTTCATCTTGGAAGCAAGAGTCGTAGTGACATCTACATTAACTAGTTGAGTTACATTTGTCAGTACAATAAGATCGTTGAGAAGTCAAGTGAATGAAAACAAAGGGTGTAAACATTAAACGTCAATATAGATTTAAGGCATTATAGTTAGGGACGCCTATTCTCCTGATGACTGTGTGAACTGAGTACTCCAAAACATAAAGGTGGGTTAGTTGAACGCTATAACCTTGATTCAATCAGTTAGTCACAACTTCGCACGACGTGATCTTATGGACTTTCTTTTAAAATACGAGACTCACTAAACACTCTAATGAGTCAAGTTTTTTGATAATCTCATCCAAAGAACTGCGGGTCCATTATGGATAAGATTTTATTTTGATAAATTACACAGTGTTGTACAGTAATATTAACTGATGAAGTTTCGAGCACAAACTATTGCTCATAATCATATCATATGACTTCATGAACTGATACCAGGTTTTCATACAGTCTCCCTTAACTCTTCTCTGAACTAATCTGGTGTCAGCCTAGTAGTAAAAAGCTCAGTCACTTAAATTCTAGTTACAATTGACCATAGTGTTAATATAGTTAACGTCCTACCCTACATTTCAGAAGTGAATAATTGCTTAAAGTGTTAAAATTTTATTAAAATCGTCTAAATTCACTGAGATGAAACATTATAATAAAAGTTTCATACTTACTGTACACGGGCACCCATTTGTTGAAAATGTCTTGTTAAATTTACACTAGTATACTCAGGAGTAGATACTCCAAAGGATCGTCGAAGAAGGTGACTTATGCCACGATTTTCAGAAGATTCATACCTGGGACCAGATTTTATGACAAGAGCCAGTCGCGTAAATCCGAGACCAAGAGATGGTACATTGAGAAGCTGTAATAAACAGAAGTATTTATGACTATTTAAAAACAAGTAAAATAGAATGCTGTTATAGAAAAACACTGACTTTTTTGGAAAAAATAAGTAACACACTCAACAATCTAGTGAACTAGACTGTAGATTACACTGTTTGTTTAATACTAATACACGAATTCACAAAGGAGTTGTGGACATGAAGCAGTAGATCACCAATGGTTAAGTGTTGAGTATCTGAAGTCAAGAGTAAGAGTTCTGCATTTCATCAGTATGAAGATTATCATGGGATATTATTTAGATAAATTTAAGTAACTTACAAGGCGGATATCGTATTTCATGATGGAGTAACACAAGAAAAATTTAGGGAGTATGTTCTTATCAGAAAACCAGGACTCATTTTGCAAATGGTGTTATTATTCTACCTTTTTCCCTATTTTCTTCGTTCTAATTTATTGTGAAACTACAAAAAAGAAACTAATCTAGAACAAATTTGTCCCCTGACATGGATTTTTAGATACAACGAAGAGATGTTCAAACTTTTCGCGAAAGAATGAACTTAATAGCCATAATCAGTTTTATTTGGCATTCTTTTGTTTTCAATTGTAGATTTTAGTGGCACTGGCTTTGTAGTGAGGAAATCTACATGGCTGTTCTTCGGTCAAAAGTTTTAGTAATGGAATTCATTTCAGTTCAGTTGTCTTACTAACCTTTAAGAAATTTTGATGAGTTAGCTTTTACCTCTGCACCTGTATCACATAGGCGGTGAATCTATGTTAAAGTTTACAACCATTAAACCATAGCAATGAACCATTCATGTTGTTATACTGAATTGTCTTACTAAACGCCAAACCAAAAGCTATGTTCTTGTAGCTATATTGCATGACATCAGTAGGTACACCGCACGGCATGTAGCGTTAAGGCAGTTACACACACCAGGAATATGTTTTTATTAGGTTTCACGAACACTTTTCGTTAGCTGTTACCACTATTATTTGAGTGATATGTACTAATGGTCATTGAAGCAACATTACAACGATTCAACTGCGTTGAATTGAGCGCTAAATAGTACGCGTGGCACTCCGCTTACGCTTAATCGAGTCTGGAACTACCTTCTACGTTCATATGTAGTGGGAATACATGCAAATATGCTTAATGAGTTGTGTACAAAATAAGGTCACTTAAAAGGAAGCAAATGCATCGGCAGGTTCAGTTCTACTACTGGAAAGTTATACCTAGCTGAAGTGAATATCAGTCCACCCATTCCTGTCACTTTATGCTTTACCTTGAAAGATACGTTCTACTCAGCTGATACAAAATTCATTCATGGCTAAAGACAGATTTTCAACTTAATCGGTGTTACCAACTTATCCCGATATTTTCACTACCTAGATATATCTGTGTTTAATGAGCGACTATATATAAATTTTCCAGCGTTTCCTCTCATAGGTCTACATCGTAACTACATACGCGATAGTCCCCAACAATGTATTTAACTTATTCCCTAAAGCCGCTATGTTTACATAAAAAAATACAGGTTTATGTTATGATAACTCACTTGTATGCCATCTATGCTGGGATTAATGACAATTTCTTTCTGTTGCGTAGCCTTACAGGCACTTGCGACGTTTAATACACCTCTCTTTAGTGTTTTTAGACTAGAAAACGTGAAAATCTATATAAGGAAACGACAACGTTACTCCACAAAACGGCCCACTGGAGACATTTGAGTAACAACAGTTCACTTATAAAGACCGCGCTATGAGTCTACAGAAATTCAATGTACTATATTTTCAGATTCAGATTTATTGATTGGAGATAGAAGTTTTAGAGCCTATGTTAATCCTTTTCCAGTAAATTTCCATCCCTTTCCAAACCCTTCTTCAATGAATCACTTGAGGTTTCAGACACCACTTATTCATGGAGTTGGTTCCGAGAGTTTATGACTTGGTGTGAGAACCAGTACTCCACAGCAATATGACTTCTTCTTGGCCTTTAAACTCTCCTCAAGTGTTCCGACCCGGAGGGAAGGAAAAGAGAGAAAGACCAGGTCCATAGTCATTGTTTAAATTTTTAAACGTTGTAGTTAAATCTTCCCTTTGCCTAGGGTGTGATAGGGAGAAGAGGTTTAAGCTGCCTAGTCTTTCCTCGTGTGAGAGATTATACGAGCCAATAATCATGCGTGTTGCCTTCCTTTGAACCTTTTCTAGAATATGTGAGTCCCTTTAAGATGAGGACTACCTGTCTGGATACAATTTTCTAGTCTTGACCTCACCAGAGACGTACATAAAGAGGTGAACATATCCCGTGTGATTCTAGTAAAGGCTCTGAGAATTTCCCATAAGGACCTGAAACTACGTGGAGCCACCACTCGACAGTGTGCTGTAGTTTTTAGGTCGTGGCTAACTGTGACACCTAAGTCCAACTGAGTCCGAACTGATGGAAGTGTTATTCCCTTTAGTTCGTAGGAGCTGGTACTTGCTTGTCCGATGCGCATGGTTGCACATTTACCACACTGATCTGGAGCATTCATTCTGACGGTTTGTTGAGGTCCTCTTGCAACGTGGATGTATAACTGTTGCCCTTCAGCTCTCTCCAGATATTTAAGTCGTCTGTGTACAGGAACATAGGGGAGTCAGTGAGCAGATATAACTCACTGATAAACAAAATAAATAGGAGAAGCGCGAGTCTTGTGGCATTTCGCTATGCACTCTTGTTCAGGAGGAGAGTTTCGAGTTGGTCCTTACCCTCTGCCTTCTATCCACGAGGAGTTCCTTAATCCACTTTAGAAAGCTGTCTTTGATACCAAGACTTTCCAACTTCATGATTAGTCTTTTGTGGGGAACTTAATCGGAGGCTTTGCTGACGTTTTTTTAATCGACGTCGATGGAATCTATCCCGTGTTCCTCTGGTGTAACTAGAGTTGACCCCATGATGAGGACTGCTATATAAGGACTTAGGAGAAGTAGTCTGCCATTGCTTCTACTTTTTCTTAATCTTCACTTGTGTCACTGCCGATAGCCACGTTTGGGGCACCATTAGATGTCTTATTCTTCAAGTTTATGTACGAAAAAATTTTCTTGGGTTGTGCCTTTGCACCAGTTCAGACAGGAAAATTATCACAATTTAGGTTTGCTTATTTTCACATGTTTGTTTCCGGTCTTGTCTTTCCTAATTGTCGGAAGTTTATGGGTTTTCAGTCTTAGCCTTAACAGATATGAAAGATGGTTGGGGTTAACTTATCACTTTTGAGAAAACACTTATGTTTCTGATAATTCCTCATGAAAAAATCTATTAAAAGTCATAACTTGGACTGCCAAATGGATCGTTATAATGTTTGACTGGATAGTGAGTAAATTAATTTAATCCCCATGGTGTTCGTCAAAACAGCATCCGTAGTCAAGAGTGACAGCGACGGAAACTTACACTGGCGTTTCATTTTACGGCCTTACGTGTGTCTTGAATTACTTTGATTTACAAACTATAGAAAAATAATCATTTCTTCCGATACACAGCACCACTGTCTTTTCTTATTGAATCCCTCTGCGCTCCGAGTGGGACATAGGAATTAATTCCTTGAGCTTTAGAGTTCCTGTAACTGTGGTGTTATTATTTCTTATGGGATGGCATTGCGGCCAAGTTAAACTTTAAGCACCACTGACTACCAACCAGCAAATGACGTCGAATGACCCAATAAGATTCATGAACCTGAGTTCAATGTTGTATAGCGTTTGATTCACTTCAAGTACGTGCCCTAACGAAGTTGTGGTTGCAATTCGAGGATAGTGTTTTCCAGTATTGCCAGGATTTAGGGTTGCCTCAGAAGGAGAGAATTTGTTCGTGTGGTGGTGTGATGACTTTAAAAAGCTTTAGCAGGTTGACTGATGGATGTGTCCATTGCTGTGCAATTTGTTTGAGGCGAGTTAGCATAAGAGAAGGTAAGCTGATAATTTTAATATTCCGTAGGACCTTTCTGTCTGGTCACATCTCTTCTTAACGCAAATTTTGTATATTTGCAACTGCTGGGTCTTAAAAAGCCGGTGAGAGCCGCATCTGCTGAAACTGAGAATAGCCTCGTCTCAGCAGTTCAGTGGTAGCATTGCAGAGACATTGCATCGTGGAAAATATAGAAAATTACTTCTTTTTTGGGTGGAGAAGACGTCGTTGGGCATGTCGACGAAACTGTGTTGGTGAAGAATAAATTTTCTTTTTTTCTTATTATTATTTTTTATTTCGATTACAGCTTGATTCCACACCGTACTTTTGATACAAGTATGACATTTTTTCAGCATGTGATATCAGTAGCCCAAATTTTGCAGGCCAACCACTGATATGAGGTGTGCGTCGGCAAGGGATCGAACCCCAGACCAAATGCATGGTAGGTGAGAGTTCTAACCACTGTGCCACCGACGCACACTCTAAGACAACCGTGGTCGTCTGCAAGCCAACAATATTTGGGTAATTGGTTTTTACGACGCCTCGCTCTGAGGGGTCATCGTGAGAAGGATAGCAGATAGAAAAGCAACTACTTTATTACCTATTATTAACAGACTTGTAAAACGGGAATCAACAATACACACAGATGAATGGAAAGGTCACAACTCCTTGTCATCTCTTGAATATATTCATCATAGAATGAACCGCTCAAGCGATTTTGTCAAAGTAAGTGGGGGTCACTGAGAAGAATCGCCCCATTCTGCAGGAACAGCAATATACAATTTGACAGCTCGAGATATTTCTGATTTCTATGAGGGCTTAGATCTTTATCTTGAAAAAGATAATAATGAACGCCTTGACAGATCATGCTTCTACCTTTAAATATATACCATTCACTCAGCCTATTGTTGAGATGCGACCATGTGGGATCTGCACAGATTTATGGGGCATCTTATAAACTAACTTGCTGTCCATTGTCGGATCTTTAAATACCACTTCACAATGTCTTATCTCATTTATTTTCTAATAACGTCTTTACTTGATCCTCATTATATCCCATTAAACCTAACATTTTATAGCTTTTTATGAATTTGATTCGACTTATTCTATTCCTATTCTCTGTAGGGTATGGTTGTGCACCAAATGCACAAAAAAGCATAAAATAAAAAAAACCGACATAAGGAAAAAATGTATTAAAACCAAAAGTGGACATCATGATGGTGCAAACTGTACAGGAAGCATTATACATTGCAAATGAACGTTGTCAGCCTAGGGAGTTTCCTTTATTAATGCATTTATTAGTGATACTTGGACTTACCCATTTTATTACACTTTATTGATTCACCTTAGCACTTCACCTTTTCTCAAACAGCTTTCAATCCCTTGTAAACGTTGTACTTACCTCAATATTGGTTGGTTATCGTATGCCGACAACCACGGGATGAAAACGAAACGAAGTCGATTTTCCCGCTCAACCTGGAGGACAATTGTACAATTCAATAACTATACAGCCTAGTTCAGACAATGAATGTATTTATATATATATATATATCAAATATTTAACTGTTGAAACATTATTAACTTGTAGACAATCTACGATTTGATATTATATCATACTTGATCGTGCCTGTAAAAATAACATGCATTTTCATGTAAATTTATATGTTTATATGAGAATATACATTATTATTATTAATCCCATTACGAATACACATACGAATTCCATTAAAGGATTTTGGAGGAGGTTGATAAATAGGACTACGGCTATAAATGGATCTCAAAAAGATCTCATCTATAGTCAACTGGATGAACATATGTACAGAATATGGTGTAACTTCTCTATTGACAGTCCTATGCTCAACTGGGAGATGTTTCTCTCACACGTCAGAGAAAGATACCATTTGTAACAGTTTTATGCTTTCTTTTATGTTTTTTTTCCATAAATATACATTTCCTTTTATCATAAATGCCTCCTTCATGTATTAGTCCGTTCAAGGTCGTCTGCTGATTGGTTGTTAGTGGTGCCGAAAGTTTAACTTTGCCGGCATTGCTGCCCATTTCGATGAAAATTCAGTGCGGGCGAACGTCAACGCAATTTCGAATATCATGATTATCTCCGGGTTGTTATGGCTGGGAACTGGACAACCACCAATCCACAAGTCGTTTTAAACTACAGTTAGTATATGCATCTACACGTTGTCACTAGGATTAATTTTACAGTAAGCTTCTGAAAAACCATTGTAAAGGCAGTTTGCATTACCGCTGATATGAAACGAGGTATTCTGGGTGTCAGCCAAGTCTCATCAACTGTCAGTGTCCAGCTCTTACTACGCTGGATCTCGCGCTGTCCCTCGAAGACTTTCAGAAACAATTTGTAATAACCAACGCAAAAACCCGAACACAGATTGACGAATCGAGAATCCTTTATTCTTACGCCAACATGTAACCAACAATAAGGTTACTACACACAAGGTCTAAGAATAAATGTCATAACAATAAATCACGATAGTACTTCTGATAGTTTTGTATCTTCCACTGAACAGCGAACGATGAGGCGATGACTGCTGGACTGATGACTCCCGCGAAAATTATGGGGAAGTTGGGTTTGAGCAAACAACCATGAAATGATCGTTCAATCTTCAACTACACTGACATAGGTATTAAATCATCCCTTCTCACTGACTTATGGAAATACACTGAAAAGACATTTTTTATGGGAATTCTCTAAAAAATTCCAAATTGATCAATTGTCTGGATATTCAGCATTTCAATTTAGTAGATCGTCTAGGTCAGGGATAGTGTTTTCTAGGTGTCGCTTCTTTGAAAAGTGGAGATGTGTCTTTCCGTAGT